ATATGGTTCTGCATAACTGATAATGTAAAAAATTTATAACGATCTAACGAAGCTAAAATTCTATGCATGTCAAAATCCTAAAATGATTTTATTGTTACTGTAAATCTTCCAATTCTTTTAATTTTACCTTAGCATCATTATTATTTTGCGAAGCAGCTAAATTCAGATACTTAATTGCCATTTGTCGATCTTCGGGTAAATAGTAAATGCCCAAATGATACTGAGCCATATCAAATCCATTATTAGCTGATAGAGTCAGATAATTAATAGCTTCTCTCTTGGTTTCTGAATCAATCTCTTTATTTGATTGCAAGGCAAACGCATAACGAATTGTGCATATCTAATTCCATCATCAGCAGCTTCTTTAAAAAGAGTCGTTGCTTGAACTGTATCTTTTAGAATATGATGTCCTTCCCATAAATAGTAAGCTTTTCAATACTTTGCAAGTGGATTATTAAGTTCTGCGTTTTCTTCAAAACACTTCCATGCGTCTTCGTAATTACCTTCCTTATGAAGCTTAATTCCTTCTTCGACTTGCGTTACCAACTTGAAATTTCTTTCTGCAATTAAAGAATATCCGTTGATGATATTATCAAGGTTTTCAGCTTCTCCAGTTTCTGTAGGTTTATCTTTTTCAAATCCTGAACAATCTTTATAGTCTAATGTCAAATATTTAAGCAATAAAGACAATTCTAGAAATTCTATACGTTTAGTTGGTGATTGTTCCCATGCTATTTAATTAAAATGATTATTAAACTTATTAAACTCTTAAATACAGTAATATAAAAATAAATTTGATTCATGTATACCTTTTGAAATAATTTCTATTAACCTTAGTTTAATACTTTCATTATCTTTATTTTCATCTTTACAAACTCTTAGAGTTTCTCGCTTGCCACTTAAAACGTGTGCTTTGACTTCTTCAGGACTCATATTTTCATAAGGAATTTTTTCATAACAGAGTTCCCATATTAACATTCCAAAGCTAATGGCATTTTTTTAAAAAATTAAAATTAAATAA